AACGATACACTGAGTAATAATGCCAAAAATTAGTTGATTATAATATTTCATATTTATATTGTTAAAAAAATTTCTAAAAACTCAGAATTAAATTTCAAAATCCTATAAAGAAAAAAATAAGAATGTAATGATAAGTATATAAATTATGCAATAATATGTACAATATCAGTAAGACAATATTGTGTTATAATAATATTTATATAAAAATTTTATGAACAAAATTATTGATGTATGAGCAAATATAGGTAAATCTGACTACTCTTCAATATTCCAGTATACATGTTATTATGCTATAACAATATCATCGATGCAATGTTTATTTTCTCGGATGATAAACTTCATATGAACTATTTCTGACAAAATTTAAACGGATTTGTCTTGCACAATTTATTTTAATTTTTTATATCTTATATAACTATGATTTTTTTTTTTGGATTTATTTTATAATTTATATTTATATTTATAAATTAATGTCTGAAGAAATCTATCTCAAACTATTGATGATAATTGTTTTATAAACTTTTAAATCACTAAAAATATATATTTATTTCACTTGTGTCCTATTAATGAATCGCCTGACTCTTGTAAAACATTCTATTTAACTCTCTCCAATGTTCAATTAAACTGGCTTTTAATCATTTCAATGCCACAAATTAGAAATTGTAGTCATTGTCTAATATGCAGAATCAACAAACAAGTAAAATTCTCACAACGGATTAAAAATTATTATTTAATAACTAATAATACTATTCTAACATATACTTAATGCGAACATTAAATATATTTAAATCATAAGGTAAAATACAGTTATTAAAGAAAGTATTGGTAAAGACAATATTATTAAATTAATAGTATAAAATATAAAGGCAGATTTTATTATATTGACTGTATCGAATTTTATGTAAGTGAACACTACTTGCACATGAAAATTCTTGATATTTTATTATTAATAATGAAATTTATCAAGTATTTTTAAAGATAAATGTTCATTTTCTTACAAATGATTAAATTATCATAATCAGCAAAGTAAGATCTATAAATATATTACAGATAAAATAATATAACATATAAAAATATGGAAATTAACAAAATTTATGTATGTATATTTTTATTATATTTTAAAGCCAATTAAAATTCAATTGATTACTTTTATAAGACAATCAATGTACACGTGTCAAAATATATTTATGAAAAAAAATGAGAAATATCAAATTATGACGTTTAAACTAATAAGTCATGAGTTGAAAAATATTGTATTTAGATTATTTTTAATACATCTTTACGAATTGAATATTTTAAGTGATAAATCAATTTATATAATAAATAATATCTGTTTATAGAAAGTTATATAAACATTAATTTATTCCTATCTTGAACATTAGATTAGTATTATTATACAATCAGTTTTAAGTCGATATTTCTAAAAGGTTGAATATATGTTAATAGATACTACTAATATATATATATATATATATATATATATATATATATATATATATATATATATATATATATAATACATATAGAAACTAGTAATTCAACAGGATTTTCAAAAACATGTATCTATAACAATTTCATTTGAAAATAATAAAAATGTGTAAAAATATGTAAAAAAAAAATAATATAAACAATGATAATATATGAAACTTTAGAAAATGAAGAAGTAATCTCATAAATATTCTTTTAAATTAAAAGTAATATATATATATATATATATATATATATATATATATATATATATATAGAAGTTGCAATTTCATTTTTATTGTAGTTTATTATAAAAAAAAAAACATTGAATGATATATAAATTGAATAATGTGAAGTGTTTCGGAATTCTTTTGAAAAATGGGTGTATTGTTGTGAATAAAATCGATTAAAAAATGTACCAACACATCCTTGAGCATAAACGGTGCATATGGTAAGTTAAGAAAAATGTGAACAGCGCGTCAAGCATAAATGGAATCTGTCGGCTTTTTCATTCTTTGTTTCTTTAGAAGTTAGTAAATATTTTTGCTTTATGCTTGAAAATTTGCATGAAATGTGCGTTAAAAAATTTTAAAAATGAAATGACTAAGTTACAAAAGAATTAGAATAAATGTACATTAGTTGGGGAACTAGAAAAATTACACTCTATTTTCATATTTCGACTATTATTTTGTTATTGTTAAAGTCATTTCACATCTATGCCAATAAATTAAGTTTTTAATTTCCCACATCCTTTATTATTTATTGTTGAATTATTTCGCTCAAATTTTAATTTCAACTTACTTAATAATTTCACTGCAAATTCTGAACTAATACAAACTTTAAAGAATAACGAAAGTTTTGAAAAAATAGGAAAAACAATGTACTATGTTTGTGTATCTCGAGACATTGACACTGCAAACAACACTAACGTTATAATCTAATGATCAACATGACAGATTAATTTTTATACAAATAAAAATAAGTTTTATCAGTGTAATCGATATGTTTGTACAAATATGTAGAACTCTTACATTATATTTAATAGATATTTTATAACTATTCATATTGTATTTTCACATATTATGAAATTTTCTTCGTAGCGCTTTGAGAATCTTAAAATTCATTATTAGATTAAATATAAGAAATTTTATTTATTATTACAATAAATCATAATAACTTCCAAATTTTAATATGCATTTTATTCATAATTTTTATGGTTGTATTTAAATCTAAATCAATATCTTTATACAAAACTATATAAATATACATTATATATATATATATATATATATATATATATGTTATTATTATTTTATATAGTTATTTGTTAATTATTAATTTATATTTATGTACTTATTAAATATAAAAAATTACATTAAACATTCCAACCGTAAATTACATCTAATATATATGCTTCTATACAATATATTTCTATCTTTAGCAAGCAATAAAAATAGTCAACATTACATGATAATAAAGCAACAATTACTGATAATCTCATAATTATTTGACACGATGAAGATTATATTTTTTAATCAAAACATTATCCATAACAAATTTGTTTTTTCATAAATATATTTAAAAAAAAGAAGACGATATTTGTCGAAAGGGGTTTGCATTGGGAATTCATATTATTTAATGAATGTAAGCGATTCGAATTAGCAAAATTGAGTGGCATTTAATAATTACGCCAATGTGGGTCCGATGTAAAATAATTTCTTTATGACCTATGTATTGTACGTGCATTTCCATTTTTCCGCGCCTCGTCACTTTATATATAAAATTAATTACCAAGAATAGAATAAAGAAATAAAAATATTATTTACTTTTCAAACAATATTTTTGTAATAAAAATTAATTCACGACAATTATTTCATCATATTATGAAGCCGTCTGAGTAAAATAATTAATAATTAAAAATAATAAATTATTGTTAATAATACGATGAAATAACATTTCAAAAGCATTATTACTAATTTATAATAGAGTAAACAATCAAAGCACAACTTTATTTAAGATAAGCACTGACTGATCTTTTAAAGAAATGCAGACAGCTAATCAATATCTTCAGGTACACTCGTGTATAAAATAAACGCCACTCAATGAAAATGTATGAATGAAGCATTTTTCATAAAGTGCCTAAATATACTGGGTTTCACTTATCCATTCAAACTGCCGCTTATTATCGCTTCGTATCGCAAATTAGAATATCAGTGCATGTACGGAACGAATAATCCACTACGTATTAATCGTCACATTTTGCCAGTGGCCACAAAAAATTATTATATCCCGAGATAACGAATACGAGGGAGAAATGAGACAACCCCTTGTGTTTTAGAGTATAGGTCGGGACGTGTACAAGGGTGCGTTTGTGTGCGTGCGCGCGCGTTCCACGCGGGGTAGGGGGCGGGGATGCCAGTATTTACTTCAAAGTGACACGGCGTTTGGTTGTTGTTGGGCAGGGGATGGGGGATGGGGGATGGGGATGGGGATGGGGAGGGGTAGGGGGGAGGAAGAGAGAGCGTAAACGCGTATGCGTGTGTCGTATTGTGTCGTGTGTGTCGGTGTGTCGCCAGACGACGACGAAAAGAAAGAAAACGCGCAAGAAAATCGATGGTGCACACAAAAGCCACGCAACTTTGTACATGGATGAGTGAAAGAGCGTGAGGTTTTAACTCATTTGGATGAAAAGCTTCTTTCATTTTGAAATCGACAATCGACGCAATGCACATATAGTGCATTGAATTATTGAACGGACCGACGATCGTAATTTGCATGCCATGTGCTTTATCCTCGCGTATATTTATTTTAACGCTTTTATTATTGTAAACAGAGCTCGAAACACCGAAGCTCTTATTCAATAAAGAATTTCATAAAGATAAGATTCTAAATTGCCACGCGACTCGTTTCCTTCTTTTACATTACATCTCCATTGAGCTTACAGCTTCATTATTCGATTGTACGGTTTTAGCACGCATTGCTATTCGCATAAAGTGTAACGACAATCTCGACAATTACGACGCAACGATGACAACAACGAGAACGAAAACAAAGACGACGACAGTGGCAGCAGCAACAGCAGTAGCAATAGCACCACCACCACCATCACCACCAGACACCACCACCACGACCGCCACCATCACCACCACCACCAGCAACAACCACAATTATAATAATTATGTGACAACAAGAATAATAATAATAATAATAAAACAATTATGGGAAGGTGATTTTCGTTGCGCGGACGGACGGTCGGTCGGTATTGGCTTTCAGATCGAACGTTGAACTATCGTGGGGATTAGGATAGAAGGGGTCCGTCCGTTCGATCGGGCGCCCATCATCCGCAGCTCGCATTATCTCTCGATCGCCTAGGCGAACGTAAACGCCACGAAAGGAGTCTAGGGGAGGCCGCAGAGCAGCGGCAGAGATCGAGCCTCCTCCTCCCCCCCCCTCCCCAAATCCCCCACCCCATGCCCCGACCGGGGACACGGTGGTGTCCGTAGGTCGAGGGCGCGGGACTCGTAGTTCCTCACCTGAAAGTCGCAGTGCAGAATCTCGGCGTCGTCGAGAAGTCGTATGGTGGCGCGGTGCACCACGGTCACGTCGCTCTTGCTCCCGAACTTCAACATTATTGTTGGGGCAGCCCTGGGCCGGGAGCCGGACGCTCGCGCATCACCAGGGCACAACGACAACACCCGGAGAGCCGTCTACTCCGGTGCACGCGCCCGCCGTTACCCCGCCCCTTATCAGCCGCGCGACGCGCACGTGTCACCCTGCCCACGGAGATGCTTGCGGAGATCACGCGGACGAGGAGGTCGAGGTCGGAGACCGGCGCTCAGGCCGCGAGTGCTGGCTATCCTGGCGTACGCGCATCGCTCTTGCCGAGGGCTCGCTGCACTGACCGACCCGCGCTCCTCGCTCTCTTCCTCGCTTCGACTTCGTCTCTCCCCACCCGATAAGCCCGTACCACCACCAGCAAATCCTCCCACCCTCTCGTTCTCGTTCTCGTTCACTCTCTCTCTCTCTCTCTCTCTCTCTCTCTCTCTCTCGCACGCACGCACGCACGCGCGCGCCGATAACGGACTCCCACTCACCCCCGCGGACAGGCACTGTTGCCGCCGTCGGCCGATGAAGCGTCGCTATTGCTATTGCGCGGGAGCTTCGAAAATTGGTCGACCGGACGACGGATTCATATTTGTCTAGACGTTTGAGGTTGGGAGAATTGGGAGATTGGGAGTGGGGGTTGCTGTAGGGTAGCGCTCGTGGCAATGGGGGAAGGTGCGGGAACTTGTAGAAGAGCTTGGAAGTCATGTACAGCTGGACGAGCTTCGGGACTGTTTGAAAAATTAATCCCCGCTATCTTTCTCATAGGCGATAATTATTTCTGGGCATTTCAGAATTTATTTGTAGAGAAGCGATAGGATGTAAAGATTTATTGTTTATTACTTCACTGCTTATATAATGTTATCAGGTACAGTTATAGAACGGTACTAAATACACAACTGTATATATAAATATGAATAATATGTAAATTTTTATAGTGTACTCAAAAGAAATATTACGTAAACAAATTTTAATCTTAAAAGGAATATTGTCTTACTCAACTCAAATGCATTTTATTACACATTAGTTTGAAACACTTTCATTTTCTAACTTTAAATTAATTTTCAATGTAAAAAATGTGTAATTTTGCTATTTTTATTAAAAATATATATTTCAGATTTAGTTACAATAAAATAAATTTGATTTTACTTCTTGTCCTTAACTCAATTTATACATTTGTCTAACATCTAAGAATATATATATATATATATATATATATATATATATATATTATTTTGCATGTTTTCTTGTTGGATCAAATATAATAAAAGACTGTGATGGAGAGAATGCAATTGACTAAGAAAATATTTGTGTATCTGCCTTAATTTGTGAAAATTATTGTAATTACAGATCGAAGGAAAGTCATACATTGTAGGTTAATACTTAATGACTTTTTTGCGTCTCACTAATTGCAGCATCGTTGTATAAAGATCGAAGCAATAATTATGCTCCCCCTCCCCTCTTCAAAAAGATAAAAAACATTGTTCAGACGATATGTAAAAAAACGTTTATATTAAAGAAATGAAATAGAGAAGGAAACGCGTAATGTATCTTGCCTCCAGCCACATAAATTTACGACTGAGATAAGTGTCAAAACTGCTTAAGCAAATTGCATTTCATGAAACTCTCTATCTACTATTGTAAGAAATTGTATGTTTATTTATTTAGATCTATATTGTATATCTATTGATACATACATATATCTACATTGTAACAGACTCTTATTTATAATTAAATATAGGGAAAAACTTATCATTTATTCACGTGTAGTATTGTTATATTAAAAGTGTATCCAAAGAATAAGTGTATGAAATGGAATATTCCTCAAAGAAATTAACTTTATTCGAAAAAAAGAGATAAATGCTTCTTTCCAACGCTAACGAAATATTCTTACCAACATTAATAATTTCTTAAAATATTTTGTCAAGACTTCTAACCTATGAGATTTTTAAACAATACTGATTAATATGCTAGTAAGTTGATGATCAGTATACATAATACGCATACATATGAACTTGAATACATGAATATATATATATATATATATATATATATATATATATATATATATATATATATATATATAAACGTGAATGCGTGCGTGCATGCATGCACGCACATATGGCAAATGGTGACAAATTACGTATTTGTTTAAATTCGTTGCAGAGTATTCAAAAACTAAATTACCGACCATGATAACGAGACCTACTACATCGACTGCATATTAGTAAATATAGATCGCTAATTTACAATTGATAATGCAATTGGCTTTGTTCTATTTAAAACATGTTGCTTCAAAATTTTTCAATAAAAAATATAAATTATTTATAAATTTATCCAAGTAAATGCAGCCTAAATAAATAAGAATTTTTTTAGCAATTTTTTTTTAATTCTTTGTCGATAAAACATAATTATAATACTATATATACATCTATATTACCTCCAATTATAAAAGTATATTTAATTGTATGATTTACATATATATATATATATATATATATATATATATATATATATACACGCAATTTTTCTTAGTAAAAATCATATTATGCTACTAAATAATTCCTATATAGTTATGCGTATTTTCATTTTTTTATAATGCTATAATTTATGTTAATCAGTTTTAATATAATTATTTCATATAAGTTTATTTAATGTAAATATTTTCAAACCCTGTTTATCTACGCATTAAATATTATAATAGTTTTGCAAAAATATTTACAATCAATAATTATAACCAATTATAATGAACAAAAATAAGAAAACCATAAGTAACTTGTTATCCTATATTCTATAAATATATTATATTTCTATATATTATATCTGGATATATTCTGTTTCCTTCAGTTTTGTATTATTTTATTAACGAATACTGAATCATCATTATTATACGCTATTTTTTATTTAAAATTTAAAATTTAAATTTAAAAAAAAAAAAATTATAATCTGATGCCTCTTTTCAATTTAATAATATTTTTAGTGATGAAAATATTTTATACTTATAGTTATATTGGATTTTTTTAAATGCTAAATTTAATAAGATCTTTTAAATAATCATTATTAAAATAAAATTAATTTAATACCTCTACGACAATTTGCTTTTCAATATTTAATTGAATTATAAAACTTAAAGCTTATTAGTTGTATTATAAGAAAGTTTTAATCAATAAAATGCATTATTTCATCTATTGTTAATAAGAAAAAATATTTTTCATAAAAAAAATATCGAAATTACGTAATCGAAAGTACGGAAATCGAAAATTTAATGAAGAAGCATACTATAAGTATAACAGGAATATAATATATGCCAATATCATAAAAACAATATAAAATATTGTGTTTTAATAAAACTTGTATTTAATATTATATATTTAATATAAAAATATATTTAACTAATAATTTATAAAACTGTACTGTTCAACTGGAAAAATTACTATTTCGAAACATATTTCATAAGGAATAAAATCAATATATGCATATGCTACTTTCTGAAAATTTTATTGTATTATAAATGTATAGAAATATATCAAAACATATGCTCAAAAAATACAAATAAACGAAGAAATATGAAATCCATATATAAAATATTGCTTATTGGTTATTTAAGTTAAGTATATCCATCCAGAAGATGAAAAATACGAAGATTAGATTAATTGATTGTACCAAGAAGTTGCAAATTTTTTATAAAAATTAGTCAGAATTTCAAGATGATTCCATAATTGAGCCACATATAAATATATGTATAAATACTCGTCTATTAATGTGTGTGCGAGTGTTTGCGCCCGCGTTTCTCAGGGATATAGAACGAAAATTTCTAAATATTAACTGGAAAGTTTAGTTGCATAATTAATTACTGATAAAATTTGAGCGTATGAAAAATAATTTTTATTTTAAACAATAACAAATAATGTAAAAACAAAATTATCGTTCAATTTAATTTATTAAAAGCTAATTCTACAAACCCTTATTCGAAATCACTATAAAGAAATTATTGAAATTATAAAAAGAACTAAATGAAAATGGAACGAAAAATGAAAAACTATTAAAAATATAATTATGCATTTTCAATTATAATAAATTGTAAGTATAACTAATTTAGTTTAAAAAAAATTTGCAAGATTTCTTCATTATATAAAATTTTTACCATTACAGAAATTATTTGTCGTTACTAAATTCAGATCAGAGAAAAGAGACCCACAAATCTATGAAATTGTTGATAATAAACATTTCTAAGAAGAAATAAAATTTCATGGACAAACCAACATATGTAAAATTCAGGCGAACAAACATAAATTCAACAATGAATCTGTCATCTTTTATGAAGGTTCCGGATCGATACGGATCGAAAAGTACATAAAGATAGCGGAAAAGGTGAAGAACAATTGAATAGATTTTTTAGACAAAGTATATTTATTAATTCGTGTAAAATACGAATTGTCTGATAAAAATTAAAAATTGTTAATAAAAAATGATCGTAAAAAATTTACATGTCAATTATGAATTTGGTTATTATAATATCGTAATAAAATCCAAGAATTTTTAAGATTATAAGAAATGAAAAATAAAATAAAAGAATACTAGCGAATTAAATAACTCGTAAAACCAGTTTACCTAATAATGACAATTTTATACAAGAATGACAAAAATACAATGTACTTAATGTTACACATTATGAATGAAATAAATAGTGAATTCTTATTTCTTTTCTGGAGCAGAGAATATAACCTTGTGAGTAATAGAATATATTTATCGCTGACTGAATATTCAAAGGTGTCGTATGTACTTGTAAAAGCTATTGGTAAAATACTAAAATATAATAAAAATAATATATAAGATTTTTTTTTATAACAATAGTATGATTATTAATAATAGAAATAATTCAATTAGTAAAAGAAACATTATTGAATATCATTAAAACGATAAACGTCAATTAATAATAACTTAGGCCGGGATAATATATATTTTCGATATGTCTGACATACACTTTAGTTTCTACCATACTTGTATTTCCTTTAAAGTGGATGAGAGAAAAACTCGGTTCGCTCACTTCTGGACGATCCAAGCCAAAGCTTAGAACAAGCTCCTTCGTCTTCCCCGACTCCAAATATATTCTTTTCAAGACAAAGGCTGTACTTGTTATCTCTCCCACTAATCGTAAGAAGTGGAAGAAACAACGTTGGAGTGAGATAGACTTTATAAGCCTCGGAGGTGCCGCAGTTCATAGTATATAAAATAAAATTAAATAGCGTTAGATAAATTAAGATTAAGTTATATTAAGTTAAATGATTCGTTCCTTAAATTAATGTGAATTAAGCAATTTTATAACATTATTTCAATCTAATGCTTAATAAAATCTTTTGCATCTTATATATATTTAATTATTATTTAATTTATTAACATTAAATAAGTCCATACTAATAATATTGTATAGAATATTTATTCATTAAAATTTTATATAGTTTTTAAATTTTTAAGTAATTAACTTATTCTATTATGAACTAAATAGATTATGAATTTCAATAATGCGGTAATGTTAATATATAAAAATTAAAAGTGACAACAAAATTTTCATAAATACTATTGTTTTTAAAATAATTATGGATACATTCATTTCGCTGTTTGTATGCACGTTTAGGATTATGAAAATTAAAATTTAATCTTTGCGATAAGCTTCTTATACTCCATGAATTTGATATACTTTAATAGATGTAAGGAATTTTTAAAAATTTGAAGTAAAAAAGGTTAATTATTATTTTTCATGATTTGTTGCGAAATGTTTAAGATAATTATTTTAATGTTTAAAAACCGATTAAAATTATGATAAAGAGATAGGAAACGCGAAAATATAATATATTAGCAAAAACGTTATTTAACGGTTCCGTAAAATCGAATGATACGCGCGCGCGCGTACACACACGCGCCCACACACGCACGCACGCGCGGAATAGCCCATATTTTCATTAAATATTTTTATATCCAATTCTTTAAAACTTGTTGTACACCCATTCCATCCTATTATTTAATCCTTTAAAAATTGTCGCATAAGCATTTTTACAATTTAACAACAGCGCTATTTATAAAATAAATAATTTTTTACATAAAGAATATTTACCGTAGCTGAACGTTTAATCGAGCTTAATTATCATTTTAAATTAACAAGTTTATTATTGTTTGAACAAACAAATAATAATGTAGAATTACAATGACCTCTAGCGGTAAAGGAATTTCCGTAGTTTATTATTATGATGATCAGTTCTGCCGTATCGTAGATTCAATGCATTGCACGTGAATTTCTCCTCATAAATTCGTAAATGATTTTCATAATATTGTTTATTATAACATTATAAAAAATGGGAATTTTAGAAAAAATATCTGAAATAGAAAAGGAAATAGCACGAACTCAGAAAAACAAAGGTAAATACAATTAGAAGGGTTATGTATACTTTATTTCTGAAAATTTTTTGCATATCAATAATGCCTTTTTTATATGACATATCTAAAGATTAATAATTCATTAATTTTATTTGTTTAGCAACTGAATATCATTTGGGTTTGTTAAAGGCAAAACTAGCGAAATATCGTTCACAACTTTTAGAACCTTCAAAAAAATCTGAAAAAGGCGAAGGTTTTGATGTTTTAAAATCTGGAGATGCAAGAGTAGCATTAATAGGCTTTCCATCTGTTGGAAAATCAACATTACTTAGTACATTAACTCATACGGAATCCGAGACTGCATCCTATGAATTTACCACTTTAACTTGTATTCCTGGTGTTATTGATTATAATGGTGCGAATATACAACTTCTTGATTTGCCTGGAATTATTGAAGGAGCTGCTCAAGTAATTATACATATTCGTAAATAAATATAATTATAATGAGAAAATATAATTTTCATAATGCATTATATTTGCATTTAAGGGTAAAGGTCGAGGCAAGCAAGTAATTGCAGTTGCAAGAACAGCAGATTTAATTTTAATGATGTTAGATGCAACAAAACAAGATGTGCAAAGACAATTATTAGAAAAGGAATTGGAGTCTGTAGGTATTAGATTAAATAAAAAAAAACCCAATATATATTTTAAAGTCAAAAAAGGTGGAGGCCTTTCCTTCAATTCAACTTGTATTTTATCAAAAGTTGATGAAAAATTAGTTCAAATGATTTTACACGAATATAAAATATTCAATGCTGAAGTTTTGTTTCGAGAAGACTGTACTCCTGATGAACTCATTGATGTTATTAATGCCAATCGTGTGTACTTACCATGTCTCTATGTTTATAATAAAATAGATCAAATTTCGATCGAAGAAGTCGATAAAATTGCGAGGCAACCAAATAGTGTTGTGGCCAGGTAATTTTAATATATAATTTATAAATAAATTGAATACTCCGTAAATGAACAGTATTATCTTACAGTTATAAATTTTGCAAATTTATAATTATTAATACTCGTTTTTTTAATGAAATATTTGGTATCCTTGGTATAACAATCTTCCAATTGTTTTAGTTGCAACATGAAGCTGAATTTAGATTACTTGTTGGAAATTCTTTGGGAATATTTGTCACTTATACGAGTATATACAAAAAAACCAGGTCAACCACCAGATTTTGACGATGGCTTAATTCTTCGTAAAGGTGTCACAGTTGAACATGTTTGTCATGGAATTCATCGAACATTAACTGCACAATTTAAATACGCACTCGTTTGGGTAAAGTTAACACGACTAATAATTTTCTTCTAATCCTATTAAAACATTTTTATCATCTGTTATTACACATTTAGGGTACTAGTACAAAATACTCACCTCAAAGGGTGGGTCTACAACATGTTATGCACGATGAAGACGTTATTCAAATTATGAAAAAATAGAGAATCTAATATCTTGGTCATTGAAACTACAAGGATATTATAGATGGGGAAAACTTCTATTTTTGAAATAATAAAAACTGTCAGTATTGGCTGAAATTTTAATAACAAAGATAACGTTATTTATAATTCCATCTTGTAAAACTGGATGAAAAGGATATTTTAAAAGTTCATCTATTTATTAAACATACCAGCGTTGAATCTTAGTATTCACAAGATATAATATACATTGTTTTATTAATAAAAATTTTATGAAAAATATACTATATCTTTTTCTTTATTTACAATTAATTAAATAGGGATATTTCAGATTAATAATTCCTTCCGTATTATTTAAGAAAATAATTCATCAAGGATGACATCATTTATTCTATAGAATTTTATCGATGCTTTAAAATTACTTTTACACGAGAAAATATATATATATATATATATACTTTTTTTTTATTTGCCCAAAGCCTTAATAAGTATTTTCTAAAACTTTTAGTAAAACATTAATGATAATTTTTATTGTTAAATTAAAAATACTTGTAAGATAATATGAATTAAATGAATATGTTTTTATAATAATACTTTTATTTTTCTATCAATATAAATTTATTAAATTGGATACTTTTTTAACAATGTTCTAATCTGCATGTGTGTAAATTTCTTTTGTCCTGGCATTAGTAAACCCTTTTGTTTGGCATATTTTAAATCAGCTTTTGATGCTCTATAGCGAGTATAACATAAATCTAATTTTTCTGCTTCTGCTGAACATTTATGATTTTCATATTGATTATCGGATAGACAGCCTATAAGATTTAGTACTTCGTGTACACAGCTCCCCTCTAAAATTTTTTATTAATTATTAAATGATGTATCAAAAGTATATTACGTTTATTATATTTTTACCATTTTTCTGATCGTATTTTCCAGAAACTTTATTTTTCAATTTTAATTGTAAAATTTCTTGAAGAGGCACTTTATCACTTTGTGGTGTCCTGGCTTTCAATACATAACTTGTTAACCTCATTTTCTATAATTTTATAAAAGATAAGATAATCATAATTTTAATAATACGAGAGCATACATTATGTAAGTTTAATTAACTAATAATACGGAACGGTTGTTTTAAAAAATTTTTATTTTGGATAATTTATACAGGCATAATTTAAAATTTGATTTTATAAAGTAATAAAGTTATATGATTCATTTTAAAATTACTTTTAAAATAAAGTCATATATGAAAACTTGAATATCACTAAAATGTATTTATTAAATATATAAATCAAGTATTAATATTATATTATATTTTCTATAGTTCATCATGTTTAAAACACAAATGCTTTAACGCATATTTATACTTTTTTCTTATAAAATAGGATTGAACTTTCTAAAATTAAGAAGCAAGAGTTTATTGTATAAACAATATTCCATGGATTGTATATTTTTTAATCTAAAATTAATTATTCAATTTATTACATTTTACAAATAATACATAATTTTATTAATGCACTAGAACTCTTGAAGAATGATGGATATTAATAGTGATCGTACAATTATGCCGCAAAAGATATATAAAAAAATAAAAAATATTAAATAAAAGGCGGTACGAAATGCTACTGGCTTTTCCGAAATGAAGAGCAATGTTAATATTCAAAGCAGATAGTAGTATTTTATTTAAATATAGTATGGACGGAAAATTAAAAAGAAGAAAAAAAATTTACAAAGGTTAAATATTTGTTCTGACAATTCATTCACAAAATTTAAAATGTACATACTATATCTTGATAATAATAAGAATCTTTATAACTCTTTAATGAAATAATAAAACGCCCAAGTTATGCAAATCACTTTGCCGTTTTTCTATTATTATTATTAAATAATGTATCACATAACCTGACAAAAATTCCACTATTACATTATCAATGGTAGTATTTATTTATTGACATCATTCAGTCAAAATTCCACTCTGGAGATGGCGTACTTTTAACACGTAAACCGATAACAATGAATTTCAGAATACATTTAAAAAATCGTTATTAAATTTAACTGAAAAAAAATTGTAGAATTGTTTCTGAAATGTCAAATATTTATTAAAAGCTTAAATAAAACAAACTTTTGTACTTTAATAACATACGAATTACATGCCGATTCATGTATCAATGAATGTATGAAATATTAAACATTGATACACTAATATCTGTACCATTTTTGTTGCTATTGTTGATGTTATTGTTGTTATTGTTGTTATTGTTGTCATTGTTATTATCATCATCATCATAATTGTTGTTGTTGTTGTTGTTGTTGCTATTGTCGTAAGCGTTAGTAGCATGATAATATTACTTTTTATTAAACTCTGATTATCGTCCTTATTGTTATTAGTTGACTTTATAGAAATAAAATACAAAACATATTATGAATCAACATTTTTATAAAATAATTATCCGAGTATTAAAGTTAAATCTGTTAAATTAATAATACGCATGCGCCTAATGTATTCTAGTTCCATATCATCTCTCATGCGATACATAAAAATTCTAGGGCCTACGATTGATTATTGACAACTCCGCAGTCCTTGTACCATTAAAGTAATAAAAAGTTATTTATGTCACTTTTAGTTATCTAATAGTAAAAAAAACGTGACATCGTTAACACGTATTCAGCATGACATTTGTAATTATTTCGGCATTAATGAAAATGCACGGATATTGAGAGAAATGCGAAAAACTTTACGATCAACGAATAGGTGGAAAGAAGCACGAGAAAGGTAATGCGTTAATGATATAGTATAAAAAAAAAAAAAAAAAAAAAAAAAAAAAAAAAAAAATAGCCATGAGAAATCGAGGACAAGAGCATACGCAAGATCTGCACTTGTATTGTTTGCAAACGCAATACGTAAAGAAAAGCGATCATGAAAAATCATTTTCTTCGCATTACGAACGTTGAAGTTACGCTGAGCCGTGAGATTCGTTGCTCCGACTTACGAATTTGGAATAGCCGAGGTAAATGTTTCCTTTATATGTATAAATTATTAAAGTATTATAAAGAATGTTAAATAAAACACTCTAACTAGTTTATCATGTATGCAACTAATATATTTGAAGTGAAAAGTATTATATTGTTTCTGCCGTCGTATTTCTCTTATTACAAATTTAACAAAACAGATAATAACTAAATTTCAATAATAAAGATGATATAAAAATCATTATGAAAGTATGTAATATTGGTGTTCAAAAATATTTAAAATAAAAAAAAAAAAAAAAAAAAAAAAAAAAAGTTATCGTTAACTTAATTTATTTCGTTAATTTTTTCGTTTTTTTTTATTTATCCAATTTTTCAATTTACTTTTGTTTGATACATTTTTGTGCCAAATGAAATGATTCCTTTTTAGTTTTCAAAATTACGATTAGTTACAATTTATTAAATAATTTTATCATTTTTTTTTTTTTTTTTTTTAGTACATATCTAAAATATAGAAAATAATTATTCTATGTTATTAATCGAAAGGTTTATAATATTTTAAAAGATAATTTAAATAATTAATGTTAACAAATTAGCAATAAAGTAAATTAATTATATTTTAAATTGAGATAATTTTAACAAAGTTTGAATTACGTTTTTTGTTATTTTCTCATTTATCATATTAAAATTAAATGACTAAAATAACGATAACCATTAGAATTAAAAAGTACCAATGGAATTAAAGTGGAGTAATATGCATTAAATATATAAGCAATTTAAATAACAAAATATACAAATAAAAACGATATATAAAATTTTACAAATTTATTCGTTATAATGAAATCAATTTATGTATAATAAAAGTTGTATTGATTTTTTAATTTAATTTATATTGTATGGTATATTATGAATTATTTTGTACAGAAATATTAATTTCAAAATTCTGATTTCAACATTCTGATATTGAATATGATAAGAAAATTTAAATTAATATACTTTGCTAATATAATATTAACAAATCACTTATATAAGAAAAATATGCAAAAACTAATCAAAGTAGTCGTTATAATTAAACATTTTTAAACAGATCACAGGAATATTTGTATCTATAAAAGCCAATAAGATTCTCTGGATAAATACATAAATAACACCATAAGTATTAGCCTTCCATATTTGTATAAGACATTATCACAATGGCTAAATTATGTCGAAGTAAGTATTTCTTATCAATTATAATTATACATACTTTTGAAAGCGACATATAAGAAAAATCTATGTATTAAAATGTAAATGGTGAATTTTTTATATTTAACATTAAATATATTTGCTTAGAAATTCGTTACTACAATTAATTGCATCAATTATTAATGGCACAGTTTGACTTTTACCAAAGTCCCTCAAGGCATAAAAATAAAAAAAAAATAATAAATTTGAAAACAACATAATAAATTCAAAGTAAAAATTATTTCTATAAAATTTTTGGTTTTTATCGTATTACAAATTATCAAGTCATGTATAAGATCAAATCACCTAATTCACGTGATAAAGTAAGACTATTTTGATATTCATAATAATATTGCATGGCTTACAAATATTCTTATTAACATTAGTATGTGATAAAAAAATAATACGTTTTCTTAAATTAACTTATAATTTCCTACAATTCAACAAATATTCTTACAAAAAAAAAAAAAAAAAAAAAAAAAAAAAAAAAAAAAAACGTGCGAGGCTTTTTCTATGAGGAACTAATACGTTTCATGGCCATGGCAATTTCTTGCTTACGTAAGTTACGTAATCCATTAGAAAATTAATTATTTTTATAAATAAAGTAATTTTTATATAAAATATTATTATGCGAGAATGATTGTTAATAATTGCATGCGCAATTTAAAATCTATCTAAATTACATTAAATATCAAAATAACGTATAAACTATAACCTTACTCCTGCATAAATGCAAACATAACGATTTAAGAACATTGGAGCATTATTATTTTCCACTCATATGATTATATCCTATATTTTTCCTTAAATTGAAAAATGGCGCTATTTAATGATTTCGTATATAAATCTTTCATCAATTTTTATTCTTGTTGTAGAATATTGTTCAAATAGAAGTTTACATAATACAAATCATTAAACATAAATCACGAATGTCTTCTACATTATTAATATAAATACTCGATATTTGTTAAGAAATTATATTGATCTACACATGTTTATGCATAATTTCTAAAAATGATATTTTTTTAACGATTTATTTTAATAATTAATTCAAGCGATGAAATATTTTAAACAAATAAACCAACTAACTATCTCTTTTATAATCTTATTGTATGTCATTGATCGTTTTCTTATATTTGTTTCTATATAAAATTTGCAAATTATATAAGATTTTAAAGATGGTAAAAACATTGCACGATCTATTGTGTTATTGATAGATATTAGAATAACTAAAAGAATAAAATATGAAATTTCACAATTGAGGCCGATTTTAAAAATATAATATCGATGATTATATATTGTTTAAATAATCGTAAAAACATGTACATTTAGAATCCCTTGACAATTATTTTCGAATTCGCAATTTACAAATTTTTATGAAACGGTGCATTTGTTGTAAAAGCTTAATATCCATTCATTTGACATTATTTGATTATTAAATTTGACATATATATATATATATATATATATATATATATATATATATATCTTATATAAGTATATTTATCATCCATATATATATATATTATAAAACCAAATTGAAATGTATGGAGCCACTTGATCCAAATATCAACGACTATAAAATCATTTATACTGATAAACTACAAATTTCTAAAGAGTTTTTTTATTTGAGTATCTAGTTAAATATTGTTACATTGTAAGTATATTATACTTCTTCAATAATATATACTTAATTACCTTAATATAGGATTTGTTTGTTTCGAAAATATATGATAAAATATAAACATAGAATGCGCATAATGTGCAGATAAACTAAAATTAATTTGTATCGATTTTCTTATTATAAACTACTAAGTGGGACAGAAAGTTTATATATATATATATATATATATCAATTTTTTTTTTACAATTTATAATTTTCTTGAAAGTAAAAACTAATCAGCAAAACTCGACTTATTTACGTGCATAATCTGTTTGATAAGAATGTCAGCAGTTCGATTTAGATAAAAACTTTGTATCGAAATCGTAATTTTTAGAAAAAATCATTTCTTATTGATTATAGCTTAAATATTAATTCATTATTAATATAAATTCATTTCTTTGCGATTTAGGCTCAAAGTGATGAACTTGTCTAGGACTTTACCTTCTCTATAACTTGATAAAACATACTTTTAATTACTTAGTTTTCTTATAAAACTTAATCTTAATTTTGCAATTCATTCCTTTAACTATTCATTTTGCTATGTAATATCAAATAAGCTCTATTTAAAATATAGGGAACATTTTTTAAATTTATTTTAGATGTTGGAATAGAGACAATACGATCGTCGTTTATAAGTTTTTATAATTGTTAAAATTGTATATATTTTTATACAAGTAATTTCACTAATTATTTATACGCTTCATCATTTAAAAGATAATTATTGAATACTTATAAATAGGATCATAATTTTGTATTAAAAATAATACCGATTATATCATTTAATTTATAGCGTTTTTGAGTTTTAAATATCATATATATATATATATATATATATATATATATATATATGCAAAGTTCTAACTCAAAATATTACTCTTCAAAATGCTATTGTATAATAACAATTTTCTTCCTCCATTCTGGGCCATTATTTTATAAATACTTAACTCTTGATATCTTGTAACATTTAAGTCCCCCATTAGCTGATAAATATAGTTAATTTTCTTTTATAATTAATAGCGATTACTTAAACTTTTTTCTTCTTATTTTACATAAAAGAATCAGTTTCAACTCGATATTCACTCGCTATTTAAAAATAAATAAATTCTAAAGTATCTTCTATAATAAAACAAGAAAAGAAAAGATATAATTTTACGACAAAGAGAATCGTCAATTAAAACGCGTAAATTGAAGAAAACTGCGTAGTATATTCTAAATAAAAATAAAAATATTTAAACGATGTAATGGAACATCATTGTTTAATATTGAAAAATACAAGGGTAAAAGATTTTGCTTCTTCATAATCGATGATAATACCGCATTGTTTAAATCCCTCAAAATAGAAGATCAATATTTTGAAAATCCTATAATTGTATCGGTGCTATTTAAAATATTGTACAATATTCAATGATAAGTATGCATCGTATAGCAATAAAACTTTTTTAAACGACACGATTATGATCTTTTGATAAAATTTGTGTAACAAACTAAACGCCTTTAATCATAAGTGCTTCATTATTATTATTTTATTACGCATAAGCATAACTGTAGAATGAGCAAATTTCCACATCTATGATGTATTTGACAAAATCTATAAAATATGCAAAAATTTTAAAATACATTCCTCTAGATAGAAAAATGAAAAGGAATTACAATACATTCGTATTTAAAATTTTGAATAATAGTACAATAGGTATTTTTATTCTATATGTATAGTATATGTAAAATTTAATTTAAAACGGCATAGGTGACTTAAGAGATGAAATTATCAATGTAATATTTTCTCATTTGAATACATAATGTTAAAGCATTTTAAAAGCTTATTTGAAAAATATACGTAGGTTAGTGTCATTTGGTTTGAAAATAAAAAAAAAAAACAAAAACAAAAAACAAAAAAAAAAGTGAAAATATATTAATAAATGATTTGAACTAGTGATTTAATTGCCATTATAATCTGATTTAATAGTCAGTTATAGCAATTATAAAATCATGAAATTAATATTGAAATAAAAATAAGCAACAATAACAATTTGTCGTATTAGAGTTAGTTCGAAAGCTCTTGCACGCACTTTTAAAAGTAAAATTAACGTCAATCATTCAATAATACTTTATCGATCGTATTATTTTCAAGACAGTCCATCTTCGATATTTTAATATAAAATGCAAATCGAATGTGTCTCCAGACAAAAGAACTTTTAATGTAACAAGTTCATATGTATTATCAGCGAAGCTTCCAACACAAAACACACTTGACCGTACTTTCCCAGCTCATTGATGAAAATTAATTGTAGCTGCTTTATTCTCCACACTAATAAGCTCATTTTTGCAACAAAGCATCAATTCTCGTGAAGGCGAGACGAGGCTTCTACGAGGACGAGGAGCGTCGACGCATGTCAGAGAGAGGGCACTTGGAATTTTATTTAAATGCTGGCGTACTAAATCGGGCCCGAAGCGAATAAATAGAGGATGGAGCGGTGGCGGTGTCAATGTGGCGGTGTAGGCACAGGGAAAGTGCGATCGCTGTCCTAGGCTCGGGCCTAGCGAGCTTTGCCCCCGCACATTCATGAAAATCGCGAGTGCGCCCGTCCGACAGCGGATTAGCCCCGGTCGCGCATGCGCGCCCCACCGGAGATTCCCGCGCGTTCGTCGATTGTTAGGCAGTAGCGCGCGAGCTACGAGTTAGGATACTCAGCGAGTCCGGGAGCTCACGACTATTCGTTAGCCCATCCTCGTGGAGCTTTGGTAAACAATCGGACGACATCATGAGTGAATGCAGCAAAAAGGGGCGGCACGCCAACGGTGTCATGGCTCCTTACACCAATGGCAAAGGCAAGTACCACCGGCTATCGAGTGAGTGTCTCAGCCCTTGTCACTCCCAAATATTTAACCTTGAAAGGAACTAACTGCCTAAGCTATGGCAGTGGCGCGCGCGTGCACGCAAGCACGCACGCACGCACGCACGCACGCACGCACGCACGCACGCACGCATGCATGCATGTACACGAGCACACACAACTCTCCTCTAACTTCCTGCACCAATCTTCTATTCCTGGCTCTTGGACACTGTTCTCTGTGATTTTATTTGACGTGTTTGTTTTGTGATTATCGTGTGACAGCAATGTTGATCGCAAGGGAGCATTACGAGTACCTTGTGATATTTTACGCATTCGACCACTGGAGAAAAGAACGTTAATGAGACCAATTTTTATCAACGACCACATATGTTTCAACTACGACTCTTTTCCTGTATTACGTACAAAGTATCGTATCAATTATTGCTTACGCCGTACGATCCAAAAACTTTTATCCGTATCATGACCAATAATTATGAAATAATTTAAATTTCTTAAACGTGAATTCCTATAATCAAAGAATTTCTTGCGAAAGAACTGTATTATTATTATTACCATATTTTGAACTTATCCTTCTCTTTAAATACTATTCATACCGATTCTTTTCATTCTTTTATATTATTAACATAAGTTACCGAATAGCTCGAAATATCTCAAATTCAGTAAAGAAAAAAAAAATAAAATAAAAAAAAAATGTTATCGTATTGCTTATGCTGCGTTTTTTGAAAGAGCAACGGTATTTATTTTTTTACAAATTTTATAAATATGACCGCTTCATAAAAGCATCATTTTATGCAACAATTGAAATCGTCGACAATATTTTAAATGCCTTAAAACGCTGTTTACATGAAAATAAATAATGTAAACTAATTTTAAACGAATTTTGCATCCGCATTAATAACAAAATATGTTTGATAAATTAACGATATCATGTTACATCGTTTTGTAATTATATTTTTACTCGGTTATTTCTTTCTGAAATTCCATCTCGTGTATTTGCGTGTAAGTAAAAAACTGCATACATTTGACTAGTATTTGAGTCGAAAATTCAAAAAATGTATATTAAAAGAAATAAAATCTAATCTCAAAAAGCTGACAAGAAATTTTAGAGTAATAATATTTGAAAATCAAATATAAGAATTGAAAGTATGAGTTTAAATAAATATTGCATTTTAAAAATGTAAGTTATTTGATCAAAATAATACTTTTGAATTTTAAAGATTAAGAAAATATAATAGATTTCAAAAAGTATAATAGATTTTCTAATATTCTTTTTTAAAATAAACTCTTTTTTAAAAGATACTGTCCCTTTCCACGCATTGATTAGACAAATTTTGTAGATCTGTTACATTTTTCAATTCAACGTTTCAATAAATCAAGATTATTTGATAACATATAAAAAAATTTTTTATCAAAAGCAACAAAGTAATAACGTTACGTTAAAATGTTATGGTTATTAAGCTTTTAATTTAATCACAAATATTGAAAAGGAATTGTTTGTTCGAAAGAAATATTTCCATAATTATTCGTGTCTTCTATCTTCAACCTTTGTATGTATAAATCAAAATAATTTTTTATTTCATAATGGATAATGTAAAATCAATATGCGTAAAAATTTATAATTATGAATAGACAGCACTTGAATTAGCTTTTAAAAGCAATTTAACAATTAATAAATTGTATGGATTATAATTTTATATCGAATTGTACTTGTCGAATTAATTATCTAAATAAATTCAATCATGTATTATTTTTTATTGCTTATGTATTAATTACAGATATTAATAATTATAATTTAATATAAAGGTAAATACGTAATTTAATAAGTAAATTGGAAGAATAGATGAAATTTAAAGTATATTAATTAGCGGCTCATGTTTAAATGAAGAATAACAATTTAATTCCTCAAATAGTGATAAATTTAGTATACGTAGTTGTTAAATTTGTGACCACGTCCCCCCCCCCCAAATAAAATTCAGTGCCTAATAATTTAACGTATTCTATCAAACACTGCACGATGTACTTTTACATATTCATTATTTCGACTTATAATTATCTACATTGATTTATCTATTGATAAAGAAGAAATTTTTAGTAGAAATAGTGTCGTAAATTAGGTAGAATTAAAATACTTTTTATATTTTAACGAATGCTAATACTCTTTCTAACACCATTTATACTTTAAAACATAATGATTTAATTATATATTTTTAATAATAGTATGTCGTCTTTACATGCTGCATAAATAAACATAAAATATAGAAGAAAATGTGATTCATTAATATCGTAATGCCGTAACCTATGATTTCTTAAAATATTGCATCTTCACGTTATATATATATATATATATATATATATATATATATATATATATATATATATAATGAATAAATGAAATAAAATTTTAACAAATATTTACATAAATATTTAAAAGGACCGTCGATCGAGGAGAGCCTCAGATACATCAGACAGTCTTTAAAGTCGGAAGAAATGGATTACCTAGAGGGTACACATTTCGATGGTTTATTTCCTCACGTTTTCGTCACTCTTGGTGCCTCGGTAAGTCTATTTTACAACGTATATAAAGTCACGTTAGTCACTAATTGATCGAGCCATATTCTATAAAAATTGAATATTTTTATTAGCATTTTCACAGTAGAATACATAAAAGTGGGTCAAAAGTTCTCAACTTCATGAATATTAATTATTTGGATACATAATGTTTGGAAGTATTTTAAAAATTTTAAATAAATTATTTAAAATTGATTGTAAAAAATCAGTGAATATAAGTATTTCGTTTCAAGTAAAAAATTGTTATTACGTTTACGTTGTAATTATTTATATATATGCCTATTCATGTATATTATAACAATACGACATTTATAAAACTCATTATTATTGTATCATATTATATCATATCAAATACTTAAGATAACAAAAAAAAAAAAAAAAAAAAAAAAAAAAAAAAAAAAGTCATTACTATTATAAAATTATATTATAAAATAAATTAGGACCAACTTATGATGTTAGTAATGCTATTAAGATATTAAGAATATATTTTTAAATAAAATACCGCATAATCTTTTCATGATTGAATATTAAAATAATCAGATGCATAACTTTGTGTTTAAAAGATTCCTGTACATGAAAATGTAAATAAATATAGTAGCACAGATTATATCCAGCAAGTATTATAATCTTAATAACAAATCTACATTAAACTTCTAAATCCCAAAGTAACTTAGCTCAAAGAGAGTTTTGTTGCATCATAACTTGTTTTAAACTTGACTTTCTACGCTATTGACGCATCAAATAATCTTTCAACCGTTTAAAAATATAACTGCCTATTTATGTGAATTACTTATATAAATTCCAGCAGAATTTAGTAAAAAAAAAACTTATTGATTGTCTAAAGATATTTTGAACTTATCATTATTATATTTATTATTATAATATAATAATTTGTCTGTGTATTGTACTCTCAAAGTACATTGTATCTTCATATATTTTTTATTTTACAAAGAAATTACTACTCAAATTTTTACAATAAAAATCAGTTTTACTTTACACTTCATTTGTTCTGAATAAAATACTTTATCCAGATTTATAATTATAATTACAAATATAATTACATAATTATAATTATAAATTGCCATTTAATTTAATTTATTAAAATATTGTATCCTAACTAATAAATTACTTATTTCATTAATATCAGAAAATCGTAGATTCATTCGTGAGTTTACCTGTATACGTATTATATAATACAAAACTGTAAAAAAAAACAAAAAAAAAAACAAAAAAATAACAAAACAAAAAAAAACAAATGGTCTTATATTCGATTACTTCCAATACATTTAAAGCATTACTAAATGTCAAGGTTCAGGTCATTATACATGAACTGGCAGCGATGGCAGCGAGGATTCATTGATTAAATTAGAATATGTAAACATAGTTAAAACGAAACGAAAAAAAAAAAAATCTAATAGCGTAAAAAAACTTAGTCCAACGCTAAAGATAAAATTCACGATATCCACTTGGAACGATTAAACGCATGATCCATGTATCTCCGATACTATACCGATTAAGTGAGATAATTGTTTCTATTAATAGGGCGATCTGGCGAAAAAGAAAATCTATCCAACTTTATGGTGGCTGTTCCGGGACAATCTGTTACCTCAGGCGACGACGTTCATTGGCTACGCCCGGAGTGATCTCACGATCCAGACGCTGCGTACCTTTTGCGAGCCCTACATGAATGTGCAATCAGGTGAGGAGGAGCGCTACGAGGAATTCTGGCGGCTAAATTACTACGTTATGGGCTCCTACGACGATAAGAGGGACTTCGACACGCTTAACCGGGAGATCGAGAAGCACGAGACGGGCCAATTCGCGAATCGGTTATTTTATTTGGCACTTCCGCCTTCGGTCTTCGAGAACGTCACCGTACACATCAGACAGATTTGCATGGCAAGAAAGTAGGTACACGTGACGTCTCTTTGGCTACTTTAAAAGGCAGATACTCCACGCTCATCTATTAGATTTACATATACGTAATCTACGAGGACACTTTGTTATACTCTTAAGTGTCATTCGCTGAAAGATAATTATATTAAACATTATATAAACATTATATATTGAGGAATTATCTAATTAACGTGTTTTTGATGACGTTATATGATTAATTTAAGTATTGAAATTCTGTCCCATTGGGAATTATATTAAGATAAGTGTTGTAAATAATTTAACCTGCCTTGTGAGATTTATAATGTTATCGTAATATTAAAATAAATTGAGAAGCCGAATATTTTCTTATTCAATCGTGTTATATAATATTTTAATCGATTCGTATAAAAAGTATAAGCTGCTTTATTTTAAAGTATAAGCAGCTTATGTGTTAAGAAGACAAATACATGTATTAGGTAAAAGTGAAGAAAATCGTATCAACGATTAATTACAATGGAGAACTTTGAGTATTAAGAGTAGGAAAAAAAATCTAAGGTTACGAGAAAAGAAGAAAATTTATATACATATGTATATGTATATGCATATTGTATATTGTATATTGTAAATTGTATATTGTAGACGATGTCTCACACTAAAAAACATTTTCGATATGAAATTTTGTTGTGTGTAAATACAGCAAGTTATGAAAGTCTTTGTAATTGAGTTTCTATTTGAAAGCCAAATATCTCAAACTATAGTATTGTCTGTAGTTATTTCGTTAAACATGTATAGATCACGAATATTATATTAAATCGTATAGTTTAGCGGATTAGAATAAAATATTAAAGTACAAGATATTCAAAGATATTTGGATAACAAATGAATCGGTGATAAATGTAAAGCAAAATAAAATGACAATATTAATTGAGCATTAAAATTACTTCAGGAAAAAATTTCTTACACTATATATTTATTAAGATAATCAAGTTAACAAACTTTAATGCCAATTAAATAAATGATAATTATGAATAATTAGAAATAAATCATTATTCTAATGATGAGAATAGCATTATTAGTATAAATGTACCATCACTATGTATTTTTGGAAAGTAACAGTTATATATTTTTAATAATTTTTATTAAAATTGCAGCAATATTTCATTGTGAATCGACGTGTTGAATTATTTAATCAAATTTTATAAAAATTATATCATTGTATTTGTGAGTGTTTTGAATATCATATAAGCGATATATTAAACAATTAATTAATATTAATATTAAAAAAAAAAAAAAAAAAAAAAAAAAAAAATTTGCCAACAATATATTTTAGTTATTTAACTTCGAGATGTCAACATACAAATTATTATTACAAATGAATTAAGTTAACGTCTAATACAGTTACTCGAACAAATTAATATAAGTATTAAATGAAAATTGATTTTTAGAATACTGAAGAAAGCAATTGAGTTCCAATGTATCTCATATATTTATATAAGCTTAACCTTTTTGACATTTCTATTGCATTATGTTTGTTAAGAATTTTTACAAGTAATTCTACTTCCTTATGCTCTATTATAGAATTCTCATACAACTTATATATTGAATTTAAAAGTCACAATGGATTAAAAATTCTCCAAGATAAACAATTAACAATCAAAAATTAACATTCCATTTGGCTCGGTTATTACATTTTTTTAAGGGTAAATTTATTACATTTTATTACATTTCTTTTTCGTAATCAAAGAATAATTGAATATAAATATTTGTTGGCAAAAAAAAATTTTCGAGGTGAAAATTCCCGCCACGACAATACACAATGAAAATTGATATCGAGACTCGATTTCACGCACATATATAATTATGCGCGTATACAATTTTATCATAACCACTTAGCGTCGAGCAGATGAAACAAAATGACTATTACAGATGAAATAAGTGATTCATGTTTAAAAAGCCCTTTGTATTGTATACCACAGAGGCTGGACGAGAATAATAATCGAGAAGCCGTTTGGTCGCGACGTCTTGTCCTCGCAGAAACTCTCGAATCATCTTGCATCTCTCTTCACCGAAGAGCAAATTTACAGAATCGATCACTACCTTGGTAAAGAAATGGTCCAGAACTTGATGACTCTGAGATTTGGGAATCGAATCTTCAGCCCGACATGGAATCGGGAGAACATCGCATCGGTGCAAATTACGTTTAAAGAGCCGTTCGGCACACGTGGCAGAGGTGGTTACTTTGACGAATTTGGTATTATTCGAGATGTCATGCAAAATCACTTGCTGCAAATATTGTCGCTCGTCGCTATGGAGAAGCCGGCTTCTTGTCATCCCGACGACATCAGGTCAGCGTTTTACTATCCTTTGTTCACTTTATCCATAAAAGCCAAAATTTTACAACTATTTTACAACAGAATTTTTAAACTATAGTCGCTTATATATATATATGACATATTATGAATATATAGCTTTTATAAGTGTGTATTAATTATCGTAAGCATACTAGCATACTAGAAAATGAAATTCGATTGACAATAATATAATATAACAACTGCGAAACGATTATATTATTTAAAACAGTATTTTGGAAGAAAAATGAATTTTTTTTATTTAATTATTCTTATAAGAAAAAAATAAATAAATAAATAAATAAAAAAAAACAACAACAACAACTTATTAGAAATAAGAAAATAGATAAGTCACGTAGATAAGAATTTAAAAAGAAAAATTTTTTATCGATATAATTGACATTCAAGTAACATAATTATTATTGATCATTAATAAATCATTGTTTAATCGATGAGACGATATACGGTTGAAAACAAAATTTAAAAGTCATTTTTTTAATAAATATTACTCTAAAATGTAATAATTATTAGACATTAATATTTTTGATCCAGAAATGAAAAGGTAAAAGTATTGAAGTGCATAAAGCCGGTAAGCATGGAGGACGTAGTGCTCGGTCAATATATTGGCGATCCAGAGGCGAAAGATGAAGAAGGGAAACTGGGCTATTTGGATGATAAAACTGTGCCTGCCAAGTCGAATACTCCGACTTTTGCCATGGCTGTACTAAAAATTAATAACGAACGATGGGATGACGTACCATTTCTTCTCAGATGTGGCAAAGGTAAAAATATAACATTTAACTCATAATATCATACGAACAAAACAAAAGTTACATTGGTAAATTAATGTTCGCAAAATTTACAACAATAATGCCTAATTTTTGTATTGTATTATTATGATCATAAAAAATGCTTTGCTTTCAGCCTTAAATGAAAGAAAAGCTGAAGTGAGAATTCAGTATCAAGACGTCCCCGGTGATATTTTTGATGGAAAGGGAAAAAGAAATGAACTTGTTATTAGAGTACAGCCGGGTGAAGCATTGTACATAAAAATGATGACCAAATCACCTGGAATTACGTTTGATATGGAAGAAACAGAATTAGATTTAACCTATGGCAATAGATATAAGGTAAATTGAAAACAAATTAACGTACATCAATAATACGATGAAGTTTTGATTAAAATCATAAAATTTGATAAAATCTTGCTGTTTCTTTGTTATTTCAGGGTCTTAAATTACCCGATGCTTATGAAAGACTGATTCTAGATGTTTTTTGTGGCTCTCAAATGCATTTTGTTCGTAATGACGAACTCAGTGAGGCTTGGAGAATTTTTACTCCACTACTTCATCAAATTGAGAGACAGAAAATTTCTCCCATCGAATACAAGTAATTTCATAACATTGTAATCCTATGCTAATAATCTGATTATTTCAAGCATCGAGCTTTGAATATTTAATATAAAAGTTGCTTGCCATAATTACCAAATGCATAAATAAATTTTTAATAATTTATTTAATATTTACAATATTTCATTATTAGTAGTAAATGTATTATATAATTATTTTCTTTTCAGATATGGGTCCCGTGGACCAAAAGAAGCTGATAAAATGGCAAAGCAAAATAATTTTGCTTATTATGGATCATATAAATGGGTTCGACCACATTAAATTTCATATTTATATTTTTATATAATAAATTGCACACATTGTCAACTGTAAACGAATCTGTGATTGTTATAAATACCTGAAAATTTTATATGCAGGTTTTATTTAAGAAATCTACACTTTTTAGATTTATATTTAAAAATGACTATATTGCACCCTTCTCAACGGCATATAAAAATCTGTCTGCATTTGCTATATATGCAAAATCAAAAAAGTAATATCGACATTTATATATTGTTAAAATAATTTACGCAAAATTATAAATCTTAATAATTTTGATATCTCTGTATATGATTTATACAAAAATAAATTATGTTAAAAGTAACAAAAAAGATGCTGTTAAAATTTACTTCTGTCACATAATATAATTAACAAATAACCTGACATTGTATCTAATTTTTTCAACATTTATGTACATTCATTTTACTGTAAGCACCAATGAAAATATATAATTATAAATAGCACACACAAACGCGCGCGCGCGCGCGCACACGTACAAATATATGATATAGTGGATACGAAGATGTATAAAACACTTTAAAGTTTGAATTTGACAATAATTCAATATTTAACATATGATATAATGTGTAAATTTTATATAAATTTTCAAATATTGTTTTTATTAAACTTACTATTAATTATTGTTTTTTTCACTTGCAATAATATCACTTCAATAAATCATCCTTATTTCATTTTAAAATATTGAGAATTTATTTTTAAATTGAATATTAATACATATAATTGGATTTATGTTACCAAATTAAATTAAAGCTGCGCGATAAAATTATTAAAAAAAAACTCATTAAAAGGAAGCTTAAATGCCAACGTTGTTTATATTATAATCGCTTACTTGTATATATATTTGTAGATTTAATTAAAGATATCTAAATATAAAAAACATTAAATACAAAAATGTGTTTGATGCTAAAATAGCAATAAATAAGTCGTGCCGATTTAAAATAAATTCAAGTATTAGAATATGTTTAGAAATGATACAGAAAACTATTATAGAGATAAATTGATCGATGCTACAATTCTTATAATAAAAGGAATCGCAAATACTATTAAATAAAAAAAAGTTTTTTAATTCGTCAATATGATATTGTACACATATCATTTGCACAATATTTATATCAGCTATAAATAATTATTGTTTGTATGATTGTATTTTCTTAATACTAAATTATAAAATAAATATATTGTATTTGACGCATCAATAAATATTTGAAAATTTTTATCTTTATGCTTTATGTTTAAAAATTATTAATTTTTTTTTTATTTTGAATTTTTAATTATCACTTACAATTTGTTTTTAATTCGAAAAGCTCATTCAAAATATTGTAAAAGAAATACAAAATAATTCTGACATTAAAACTTAATAGTGCTTGATATTATATTTTTTATTTAACTATTAATAAAATTACTTTCTTCTAATTTATAAAATTTTCATTAAAATATTAAAAAATTATAGTAATAAAAGTATTCATATACAAAATTATCGATATTTATTTTAATTAATTAATTTATAACGTGTATGAGTTTAGCTAACTTATGATATACAAAAATATTATTTCTATAAACTAGTTATAACTAAGTACAAAATTCTATTTATTGAATTTAACTTAAGCCTAACTTCCATTATTCAATTCAATACAAATCTTCATTTGTTGTCCAATGATAAAATTTTATCCGATACAGAAAAGATTTTAAAATATAATTTATTTTGTTTGAACGAGTTAATAATTCAAATTTTCTCATTGCCATAATTTATCTTATTAATGTAAATTAGATAAAATGTCGAAAAATCAATAGATAAAATATGTAGATAATTAAAATAAAAAATTGAAATTTTATATTTATTAAATTAAATAATATACCTTTTTGTTGTTTTTATTTATAAATTAATTATAAATAAAAAGTTTTTATTGATAAATATTTAGCAAAAATTTAATGAAAAGAACTATTTCGTTTAAGAAAATTAGAATTACATGTATTACATTCTATAAATAGTGTTAAATCTAATTACGAATGAAGTGAGAATTACAAGTAGATAATATACTAGAATTATAAAAAAAAAAACAACATTTTTACGCATATCGTTATTCATAAAAACTTATTCAATGAAATAATGAGTCGACTCTTACTAATCTCATTCGCATCACAGTATTTTTTATTAAAGGGCAAGTTTTTCATTCGAATTTGTTTTAATACTTAGTCGTTCGCTAGTCTGCATTGGCATTTTTGAAAATGTATTTTTAATGAAAGATATTTATAATGTACAGATTGAAGCTTAAACAATAAGACTGTTAATAATTAGGAATCGCATATTAAATAAAAAAAAAAAAAAATTGACATATTAAGATTCGTAAAATTGTTAGCTATTGATACGATTTTAATTAATACAATAATATTTAAATAATTAAATATAATATGAGTATACCATCATCAATTTATTAAAAAAATATAAATAATAAAAAAAATAAAAAAATAAAAAAATAGCAAGAAATTGTATTATAAAAATATCACTTTTTGTTATTTAGTCATAATTTATCATAATCTATATTGATTTTATTGAAATAATTACAATAGAGAAATATTAAAACTTTCTTAATATAAGAAACACAATAACATTATTAATTTCTGTTAAAGTAATATGAAATAATTTGTAATGTATACTATGATGTTATAATTATTGTATCTAAATTATAATAAATTTTTTAAATTATACATCGAATCTATATATATATATATATATATATATATATATAATCTCTTGCCTTTCATTATTATTAACAAACATACGTTTTTAATAGTCTAATAGTTTAATGTGAATAATCAATTTGTTTTTAAGTAATAGAGTCATGAGTATATTATTGTTACATATTACAATGGACTTCGTGAAGTATAGTTTTTTTTTTTTTTTTTTTTTTTTATAGACTTTCAACATACAATAATTTATGATTTCATTCAATATTAAAAATTTTATAAACGTAGTCTCACTGGTGTCACCATAATTTATTATTTGTTTTTACAGTTGTTTTTTTTTTTTTTTTTTTTTTTTATTTAGAATAAACAAGCCCTTTTACTTTTATGTGATATCTAGACATTTATTTTAGTCATTAATAATACGTAAATTAGCCAAAATGATAAATAAAACTAATTTTTCAAATAAAACTAATACAAATGTCAAAATAAATGTTTATTTATTTTATAAATATGAATTTGTTAAGTTCACATTCTGGTCAAATTTTATGAAATAACAGAACATTTTTTATTGCATTAAAAAGACGTTTGAACTTTTATCATACTATGTAAGTATTGAAATAAAAATCATCTAATACAATTAATTTATAATATTATTATGAAAACATAATTTGTTGGATTATCTAGTTGTAAATATTTAAGATTTAAAATATAGTTAGAATATATCCTTTTGAGTAAAGCATAATGAAATATGAAAGTTTACTTTTAATATATTTAAAACATTTTTTTGTCGTTTAATTCAATGGATATTTAAAATCCATAATTTAAATGATAATTTCATAATATAGAAATCTACAAATTTACTATACTAAGTTATCAATCATTCAAGTACCTGAATTTTTAGAAAGTTTTAAATAATATATTAATAAAACCAATATTTCATTTATGATTACACCTTTTTCATCGATTTAAGTATACCAAGGATTTTGTTTTGTAAAAGCTTAGCGTTATAAAAAAATGTTATAACGGCAATATTGCCAGTAACAAAAGTCAGTATTACATTTTTGTTATCAAAAGTTGAGTGTAATATTCTATTTAAATATATGAATCTGAATAAGTTTAAAATATACACTTGGTGGGAGCAAGCAGCTCGTCCCAATTAATGCTTGTCTGTAAGACCTCCTGCTGCAACCAAAGCTCATAATGTTGTTTAAATTCGTCGGTGAGCTCAACGTTCGCTCCAAGTACGGAGGTTATTGATGTATCCACAGGTTCTAACTCCTCATCCTTCACAGCGTTTGAGTATCTACGATTGTTGAATCGATCGACGCCCTCGCGTAGAGTGCACTCTTCGACTTGAAAATTCCATGGCCTGGCATCCAAGTCTACCAACGAAATAAATTTAAACTAATATTTTCTCGCTCATTATTAATTAATTTTCACTGTTTATATATTTTTTTGATATTATACCGTTTCCAAAAGCCCAATCGTCATTCAAACGATGTCTAACTTTAGCATAAATAAGACTTATGGTTTTCATATTCGCCTTACGCCATTGTCTACCCAAATACTTGGTTTGCATTTTCAGTAACTTCAAAACATATAGTTGTAAAATGCCATGCATGACTTTTAATGTTCGTTTTAAAATGGGAGCTGATTTAAAGACTACTAACATCTGAAGAAATGATTAAATTTTCATTATTAGTTTCCATGTGAATTATTGAATGAGTCGTGCGTTTAAAGAGAGGTATGGTAAAGCTAATGGACTTACCATTATTCTACTATGCTTCCATTTAGTCAATTTATTGAGTATTCGCAGTAAATTAATACAAGAGAAAATATTTCGCCAGGAATAATTTTGATTTTCCCCAATTGGGAGATGATCCATTGTAAATCCAGGCTGTTCTCCAATGACACAGATTGGAAAATCAAAAAACGGTATACTACGAATAATAGAAGAATAATAGAAGAAAAATGCAATAAAACAAGATGTAGATATTTATGAATTGGATAAATGATAGTGAAGTACCTATGTTTAGTTTCAATATACGATAAAATATTCTGATTGAGAAATTTTAGAATTAATGGTATGCAATTAGCAAAGACTAGGTGTTGAGATATGAACTCAAATTGATAAACGTGATTTAATTTGAAATGCTTCAATAAAAGAAGCAAAATGGCAGAAACTGCTTTAACGATGATTTCTTTATGTCGATCTACGTCAACTCCAAGTTTCGCTGATTGTACCGAGTCTTCCCTATAGATTCAACGATAAAATTAAAAAAAATTTTTAATTTTTATGAATTATCTTGAAAAGAAGATTCAACGACATAAATACTTACGAAAATTCTTCTGGCATAACATCGGATAATATATTAATACTGTCAGCTTTGACTCTGCTTGTAGGTGCAGCGACCAATAATATTTTAAGCAATGCTATTACATGTTGTGGTAAATTAGATAGCATCGCTTGATATAAAATTTCTGTTGCAGTTTGTCGAATAGGAGGTTCTTGTGTGCTCATTGGATTTTTTGCGATCTCTTCCTCCTTTTGTATTTGTACTTCTGACAGTGAAGTGTACATATACTAAAAACGACAGAACGAGTAGAAATTTTAAGTAAATAATAATTATAATTGTATTGCGAAGTAAGAAAACACTTTTAATTTTTAAATACATTTTAATAAAGCATGAATACCCACTCGCTTTAATATATTTAATCCTTCGTGAATTGGTTGAGGTAATCCAGCCACACTATCGCGATCTCCTTGTAATTTGTAACCGACAAATTTAAGTCTCGAGACGTCTAAAAACATGTCAACATCTTTTTGTCTAACTTTTGGTGCCCATGGTAAACCTTTAAAACATAAAAATATTTAGCTTCGTTTCACAAAATACATTACGAATGATCACTTTTGTTTTGCTATTAATATTCATAAAAAATAAAACGATAACGAACCTTTCATTTTTGCAGATGTATCTTGTTCGACAATAATATTTGGATTATCATAATAATTTCGAAAATCTCCGAGTAACGACTGATTATCAAAAGCTCCTTCGTCAACATCGCCCTCCGATGTATCGATTCCACCTTCGTTTTTTATCAACATGGCTCTCCCTGATTCGTACTCTAAATTAGGTTCATCTAAAGAACTTTGCTTCAATAAACTCTATAAATTGAGTACAAAATATAGATTAAATTTATAAATAAAATTTTGAAGGATGAATTTTCTCGTAAAAAATACAATACAAATAAATTTGAGTTTTAAACGTACTTTAAAGATAATTATATGCTTATTTAATAATTGAAATTATTTCTTATACCCGTCTAAAAGGTCTGCTGCCTTTCTTTGAATTATGCGTATCTATGTAATCAGTAGCACTCGTCGGAGGAGAACTTGGTCTCATTATTTTAGCAACTTCTATTGTATCCTCTTGAAGATTATCAAGACCAGCTTGTTCGCGATAAATTTTTTTCAGTTCTCGTAGAGTTTCCATACCTCCCAAAGACACCAAAATCAATTTCCACAACAAAAGCAATACTTTTTTCATTGGAAAATATGGGGCAGATCCGCTACAAAAACATGTCACCATTCCCAAAAGCTTTACGATCAGCAACTCATCTTCACAAGGATTTACTACGATTGTTATAAAAAGAAAATTATTTTATCATTAGCATTCTTAATTAATATAGTACTGGCATTAATTACAGTTAATACAGTTTTAGAATTATGCTTAAAGGTAAAGAATTAACAATTAGCCGTACTTAATTCATCCTTGAAAGCTTCGACATTATGTTTATAAATACTATCGTCTAAATGTTTAAATTCCTCTCTCATTACTTCGGTAATAATATACAAAACAGACAATATAACACGAAGATCTGTAGAATCTGCGAGACTTACATCGGTTTTTTTCATATCCGCGCTCGCAGCTGTATTATTTCTGCAAAATGTGACAAAATATTTCAATAATATTCAATTAATCATAAAAATTTAACACGCATCAGTTTAACTTTTATACTAACTCAATTTCAATATTTAACAGTTCAATGAATGCTGAAAATATTCCACATTCGTACAGCAACATTACATTTGTTCTCTCCCATTCTTGTTGCTCCTTGTCCGATTGAACTTCAGCCCAGCAACCTTGCGCTAAATATAAAATACACCTCGCAGCCTTCATTCTCAATTCTTTATTCGATACTTCCAATTGATCTAACAGCTTATAAATTATTGACTTATGCTGATGAATCGTTAAATTTTGCCAAACTGGTCGAAGATTATACGATTGCATCTGATCCTCAAAAGCCTATGGTGATAAGAGTTATAGCAAAAGGCATAACATTTATTGATCTGGTCTTAAATAAATAAAGCAGTCTTAAGTAATCCTTAATTTTTAACAAACGTTTACTTACTTTAACATTAAGTTGTAATTCATATTGTTCCGTGTAACTGTACAATTCAGCAATTTCATTAAAATGTGTGTCGGTGTCATCGTACACGAAGTCCAAGTACGAACACACCGAAGAATCCTACAATAAAAAAATGTTTTTTAAAATTCCTAATTTCGGTAAATGTATGGCATAACACATTACAAAAACAAAACCTACCGATAAAGCAAATGTATCAAATGCCTATAAAAATAACAAAAATTTGCAAGTAAATTAAGAAAATATAAAACAAGCTTATTAATTAGCGTTATTATTGTAAGCATTATTAATTAAAAAGATAAAAACAAACAAATTTCAAGCAGTGATTATTCGAAAATAGGAAAGATTAAAAGAATGTTGTGAAGGTGCCAAAAAAATAATAGAAATAAATAAGACATAAAAACTTACCATATTCGTGATTTTCCAAGAAACGTAGCTAATGACTGACGAATGTTTTCAATATTAAATTTACGAAAACGATAATACTATATAAAATACTACATTAACTGGTAAACGCAGAGTAGAATTCTTTGTGCTTTTTACGAACATGATGCTTGGCAGAATCTTTTCCAGTAAGTATGAACTTAACAAAACGAAGAATTTTAACAACTACGTTTATGACATGATGTACTTGAAAAATTTCTTAAGTATAATACATAATGGGTATTATACTTAAAATTTAAAGTAGTTTGAGTTTACGTGATGGGATGTTATTTTCTAATATATTGATATTTCGTAATTAAAAATGGTATTGTAACGAATATAAATTTATATAAATGATACTGATTTTTTCTTCTTCGTGTAATAAAAAAAAAAAAAAAAAAAAAAAAAAAAAAAAATTATTATAATAATTATTCGGTTGTTTTGTAAATTATAATTGATAGATAATTGCTTATCGTCCATCAGACTTTACGATATTCGAACTAATCATTATTTTAATACTTTTTTATTTTTTAATTGATTATAGTGAAATCAAATTTTTTAAATTATTTGTGTAAGAATTTGGTCGTTCGAGAATTTAGAAATTTCAAAATTGTCCGAGTTGTCAGTCAGATACGCATTATTAAAATAATTAAGCGTTTTCTTAACACGAGCGCATGTAAAGTTGCTTATAATTTAATTTATTATCCATATGGATAAATAAAATTTACTCTTTTTTGGACATACGAGCGTGCGTATTTTTATAACCTTCGTAAAAAGTTTTTTTTTTCTTTTTTTATTTTTTTTTAACTAAGGCTAAAACAAAATGTAAGTTAAAAATGGAAAAAAGAAAAATTAATTTCATATCTTTAGAATATGGCTTAATAACGTTAAGCCAAGTCACACATTTAATATATATATATATATATATATATATTTTTTTTTAATTTTATCGGTAGGCGACAAAATGTTAAGTATTTTAAGTTCCAGGGTCATTTTGAAAATAATCAAATAATATGCAATTTATATGAATTAAATTTAAACTTACCTCCAGTCCCGTCAAACATTTAAATATCGTACGAATTAATCAGATGTATCTTATACGAAGTAAGTGTATTAAATCTTTTATTTTCCAATTAATATTTAAAGACGACACTAAGTGAATATTACTTTCTTAACAAAAGAATGAAATTTTCGTTTTTATTACAGTCTTAGTATATGAGCCGTTGAACGGAAATCGTTTACTTCTTTATTATTTTATTATAGTTACTTTTTTAGATAATCATCCTCTTTAACGGTAACCGCAGTCCTTATCAATACGAAATCAATATATTGACGGTACGAGGCCGTCACTCGGATAAGTTTATTTGTAATGAAGGAAAAACAAAAAAAAAACTATAGTTTGAAAGGAAGAAAGGCCCTAATTTCTCCTCGTAACATCAATATTTAAACAAATTATAAAGATCGTCATGAAAAGATCTCTATTTTGTAATACGAGTATTTTCAGATTGTCAGAAGAAAAAATTTGCATTTGCATTCACTACTCCAAGTGAGGCTTTAAATATTGCAGGAGCGAAGGATTTGACAAAGACGTCGCCAAGACGCAATGTCAGGTAAGCCAGACGCGCTGACTAGTCACATACGAGAATTGTCAAGGATAAGTAGGTAGCTAGTACAGACCTTAGGCTAAGCCAAAGTTCGGTGAAAGAAAGAAAGAAGAAGAAGAAGAAGAAGAAAAATAAGCGGGGAAGATGTGTATACAATGTGATCGGCGCAGCGGGGAAATTCATACGCGACCGTAAGCCCGTAAGCGAGCAGCAGCGGCGTCAATTTCTAACGCGTGCGCGCGTTGTCCTACCTAAAGGGAGATTTCCCAAGCAGAAACAAAGGAATGTCTTCAGTTTCGTGGGTTTAGCAGAAAAGATAGTAAGAGATTAGGGCGACTGTCCGCCGTCCACTGACATTTATGAGGAAGTTGTTGTCTTCTGGCCAGTGCGCGAGACTTTAGTAATTTTTCCAAATATTACAAGTACGTGGACGATTGGTGAGTGCAAGAGGGAATAAAATCGAAGAGGACTCCGGTTTCGCACCGGCACTAGTCATAATGCAAGGCACGATTATAGAGAATCTCAGCGGTAAGAAGCTTGCCGTGCTCGTGTTGCTCCTTGTACTTGGACAGATTGTATCCTTCCTCGTTGGAGGTCTCGTAGGTAAGATGCTTCCTGTAGACAAACTATAAAATGTTCGACTTAACAAATTTTGTATTCTCGGATTGTTTACGGATTTACCGATAGGAGTTAGGGTGCTTTGTTTTACCTTTAAATAGTCGATTGTTTTGTAGTTATTTTAATGAATTTTTATTTATTTTTATTTATTTTTATTTACTTTTATTTTTACGTGTACGAAATTTTACAACATTTTAAGAAAAATATTGTCTTTGCTTCATTGACGCGTTACAAGGGAGGCAAGTCAATTGCAACTATTTACGGGACTTTTTATAACGCTTTTTTATGACACTTTTATTGTAAGAAAGAAAATGAGGCTCAAAATCTTCGACTATCAAACGCTCCAATGCGAATAATTTGCATTGATGTTTATTCAGAAGCCTAAAATGAATTATAGTTTGCATGATTCTTAAATTACAACGTTTCTCCAAGTTTGAAATTAATTTAATACGTTTAGTCATCCGATTAATTGTCTATTTGATTCAAACATTTGTTTCTCTCTTTTTTTTTTTTTTTTTTTTTTTTTTTTTTTTTTTTTTTTTTTTTTTTTTTTTTTTAATGACTTTTTTCATAAATTTACGGTTATTCGTTAATTATTTCTAAATTTTATTTATTTATCTTTTTTAATGTAAAATCAAATGCTTTAATTATATATATATATATACTTATTTGTAATGTAATCATACAATATAAACATTTTTCATTTAGAAATTCATAAATGATGAATGAAAAATTTATTTAAAAAATTATTATCAATATCTTGTTCCATAAAATTACTACCGATTATAGTAAATATGATTTTATTGTTCCTATATATAAATCAAAAATTAAAAATTTCCATTTTCATATAATAATCAAAATATTAGATGTTAAACAATTGTTATTAAAAATTTTTATTTATAATATATATTACAAACAATAATTTTTCAGACATATTTCAATATTTATAATCATAGTTAAATTAAATCTCTAGTTTCCTTATTTTCATGCAATACTTATGGATGATACACTCTGCACTACATTTTTTACTTTCATTATTTTTGCTCCTCTGGATGTCAAAGGGGAAACAATAAAGTGGATACTTGAGGTGGTATCATGACTCATGACTTCAATTTTTGTTTTGTCAAGTACACTTCAGTTGTCTGTTCAGATGTATATTTCCCTTACCTTTTCCTTTATTCTTGATATACCAGTACTTATAAAACTTCATATATGTTTGAGTGCGGTGCTCAAATGTTTCATTAGTTACTACTTATAATTAAAAATTTAAATAACAATTTCGAAAAATTATGAATTACACCATAAATTTGTTATAAATTGTTATAAATATGTATAACAAGGAAGCAACTATTCATTCGAAGAAACTATTAATTTTATTATATGTAACTTTATTGTGCTTCCTCCTATTTTAAGTCTTATCTTTTCTTATTTTAACTTTAAGTTATGAATAATCCTAAGTTAATTATCCATATTCAATTCCTATTTATAAATAATTCATTTTATGTACTTTCAAAAATTTCCCAATATATGGATATATATTTTAATTGTAACTATCGTTTGTTATATCAATTTCTAAATCAATTATACTGCCTTATATAATACTATTTTCAGAAACGCATTTAATATAAATACAATATAACAAATATGAATATAAATTATTAATTAATTCTTATTAAAATTATCGTATATTTTATTGTAGCTCCACCACCGTCAAATAGTCAAAACATATTGGGAACTGCTTGCTTAGATCAGCGTAATGCTAATGGTACTCCGCCAGGAATAGATAAATGGATGTATTCCAGACCATCTGGAAAGTGTGATATAATTGACACTCATGAGATTACAGAAAGGATTTTACCAATTGTTTATTCGTTTCAAGTAATTATTCTATCTTAACTTTCATTTTTTATTTAATTATTAAGTACTTAGTTATTTTATTATTGCAGATGCCCACACCTCGTAATAAGCAAATATTAGATTATTCTCGATGGCAACATAGCTTAATTGGCGTTTTACAAGTCGATATTATGTATCACAGTCATATAATTGTCCGTGAGTAATAAATGTGAATAATAAAATTAAGAATTCCTTTAAGAATTATAAAATCATAAATTTAATTTTTGGTAGCTCCTACAACAAAATTGACATTAGATGCTCGATTGGCGTATAGAAATAAAGATGATCCTGAAAATGCATGGAAACATTATGCTTCTTCTGTAGTCGAAAGAAATTTAGATTGTACCATTGATAAAGTAAGATTTCGAAAAATTTTCTATTTATTTGTATTTTGTTCTTCAAATGATAATGTTTGAATAATTTCTTTGGTAGCTTCATGAAGAATATAACTACAACTGCAGTATATTATCACTTTTCGAATTAGGATCTTTATTCCATGATTATTATTTGCTTAATATTCGTTTACCTAACGATCCTCTAAAAAATGTCAACCAAGATCTAGGCCACGTTACTGATTTATGGCTTACTGTAAGTTACTACTAGGAAATATTTAATTTTTTTTTTTTCTCTCTATTAATCAAAATGTTTAAACATTCGATATAATTTTATTATCATAGGTGATAAATCAAAATGGTGGGTTTACAAAAGTTTGGGTTAGCTTAAAAACTATTTATTTCCCAATCACACTTCTTATCCTTTGCTGGTATTGGAGAAGAATTCATATGCTTTCTAGATCACCAGCATTACTCGAATATATGTTGCTTGGTTTGGGCTGTGCGTTAAGTCTTTTAAACTGTAAGTTGAATATGTCTTTGAAAATATATTTTTTTTTAATTTACCATAATAATACAGATTACAAATACTATTTAAAATGCCCGTTTTTATGTTTAACTATATTAATTAAATATGAGTAAAAATGAATTATCATATATATATATATATATATATTATTATAATTAATTTAACTATTTAATAGTGCCATTGGAGTATTTTACATTGGTATTTGATATGCCATTTATGCTTTTGCTTGAGGATGTTAGACAAGGAATATTTTATGCTTTACTTTTATCTTTTTGGCTTATTTTCGCTGGTGAACATTTAATGGTAAAGTATACAAATGTATTTTACATTTTAAATATATATCTTTATAAACGTTAATCATATCATTTTTTTATTTTATGTTGATCCACGTTTTCTCTACAAAATTAGGTTCAGGTAGTTTCATAATTATTTATTTATTTCCTAAAATTTTAAATGAAATAATTTTTAATAATATATAATATATTTACAGGATGGTGATCACAAAAATTCTTTAAAGGGTTATTGGCGTCATCTTTCAGCTGTTGGAGTTGGCTGCTTATCATTGCTCTTCTTTGATGTATGCGAACGCGGTGTCCAGCTTCGAAATCCATTCTATTCAATTTGGGTTACAAGTGTTGGAGCTAAAATGGCTGTATCCTTGATCAAATTAAAATTTTTATATCTAAACTGATAGTACTTCTTGTTTACGTTCTCGAGTAAATCATAACTTTTAATTTTTTATTATAAAAATATTTTTATTATTCATTTATTCGTAAACTGCAAATTTTTAAACTCTAGTTTATCACATATTCTGTCAAGATTTTCATTTAAATGTGTTTAATGACAACGTTTAACTAATGAATTTTTAATACAAAAAATAATGTTGTCATATTGATAAAATACCATGAATATATTTATAATAATGTTTTATTATTTTTTTTTATATCAAAATAATGATATCCTCAAAGTCATACTGAACAAATACTTTTTAGTGGCAATTTTACAGTGCACATCATATTTACGTAATTTCTTTAACCTGAAAATATTAGTTATCCTTTATAATTTTAGCTGGAATATCAGCTGGAATTTATCTTCTCTTTTTATCATATATGATTTGGAAAGTTTTTATAAACATAAGTGCTAAGAGGGCTGTATTACCAAGTATGAGTTCTGCTCGACGTCTTCATTACGAAGGTGTAATTTACCGTTTTAAATTTTTGATGATCGCAACGTTGTTGTGTGCCTCATTAACTGTCATTGGTTTTATTCTGGGACAGGTACAAACAAATTAAGTCTATGCAAAATTTTTATTTAATAATATGCAATTATCTTATCAATAAATATTGTAGGAATGAAATAATCCCTTTATTTATAGGTTGCTGAAGGCCAATGGAAATGGGATCAAGATATAGAATTAGAAATGACATCGGCTTTCTTCACAGGAGTTTATGGCATGTGGAATATTTATATTATAGCTCTATTATGTTTATATGCACCATCTCATAAACAATGGCCAGTTGAACCATCAGGTAAGATCTATAGTTCAGAAATAAAATTTTTAATTTTTAATTTAAAAAAAAAAAAAAAAAAAAAAAAAAGAAAAGGCTAATTAATAATAATTATACGATTAAATATAATTATTATATATCAATAATTATATTATAATTAATATATTGATCAAATTTTTCTTTTTGCAGAAAATAGCGTGAGTGAGGAAATCGAATTTTCCAGACTGCCAACCGAACCCAATGAAATGCTATCCTTAACGGCGTTCTCGCGAAAAACTGCAATCGATTAAATATAATGATGATTTCAAGGACAAGCATCTTTCATTAGATTTATAACATTTGCAATAAATATCAATTACACCCCTATTGACGTGACGTACCATCACACAGCATTCGAGAGGCTTTGTCGCCTTTTTCTTGTCGAATGCACATATATTCATACATCTAGTATTAATAACAGCGGTATTTGTTGTAATAATAAGAGTAGACTGTGTTACAGAATCAAATATGGAATGGTTGTAAAGTAATCAATGTACTTTAAGACCTTTGTAACTTTTAACGAGAATAATTTGGAATAATTTATAAAATAATTTAAAAAAAAAAAAAAAACGTGCATGATTGAAATAATATACTTTTTACGAATGTTTTGGAATTTTCTGCTAGAGTTACAGTTATTCTTTTATGAAAGTAACATTAATGAAAGGTTTACAGAATTTTTAAGTTACTTAGATTGAACAGTTCGATCCAAATATGTTTTCGAACATTTAGGATTTTATTTGCAAATATCTTTAATGGGTTTAGAGCAATATTTATATTTTAATATTTATTACGAACAATTTTAGAATTCATATACACTTAATATTAGGTAAAATTATTGCAAAGAATCATTTAATATTAATTGATCTAATTATTAAGTAATTATTTAAAGGGTAATTTCTATTAATTCTGTTTTAGCCTTTATAAAGATGGCAGAAATACATGCGTTATTTTGAAAATGCAGAACTTTTATATTATATAAACCTCGTGTAAATTACTCTACTCAAAATAGTAAAATTATTTTATAAATATTTTATAAAATAAATTTATTTTGTAATTAGTATATTTTATAGTCCTCGAATTTGATGAATGGCTTGACAGATAATTAAGCATGTAGAATAAATTTATAATGTATCTAATTTATATAATGAGTAGGTAAGTTATACATTATAAATACTATAATTATAAATATTTATTTCACCTTGGACAAATCGAGCCGAAATATGTAAAACGGGACAGAATGTTGATATTTTTTATTCAACTTTAGTTAGAATACCTATAAAATTTTTAAATCGCAATTATAACTTACCACTATAAAATAATCGTATTTTATATTAATTTTATATGTAGTGCGTAGAAATTTTTTATAACTTTTGTATTCCACTTTTTAAATAAATTGATTTGTTACTTAAAATATAATGTATTTGTTGATCCAATACAATTTCGATGAATTGTAAAACCTCATAAAATAAAATGATCCTTAAATATATCCATGAATCCATTGTTAAAGTATTTTAAGATTTGTAAATTAATAAAGAAGAATATGAATTTCATAAACGAACGAGCAATGAGAATAATTTCAAATGCCCCTCTATCCTGTGTACACATCTGAGTTTCAATAACTTAAACATTAACTCAGCATTTTTATATGATAAATATAATAAATATTATTTGGAGCCGGCTACGGGTATGAAATCCGCGACTGGCTTGAGTATTTCAATTTTATTAACGTATTTTTTCCCTCGTTATAGAATAATAAATTGTCCCTTTAAACGAACCACTTTTAAAGCCTACGATCGATCTGTCGAATTTGAATTTAAATCCACTAAAACGATAAGTTGCTTATCCAATCGTCGATTTCTTTAATCAACCATGGCGAACATTATCCACCAATGACTATCGATCAAATATTATAAACACGCGCTTTTTCAAAAGTCCGTAGATATAAAATGTTACCATAATGCAAATACGCTCCACACAAAACGCATGCAAGCCAGGAGATCTGTTGCCTCTTTTCTTTCTTCGCGCATATATTCGTGCGATATAAATGCAAAGATTAGATCGTAAAGAAGAACGCGCGATTCCTCAAGAGTTAATAGTATGCGTCGCGCGGGTCGTTCCCGAAAATTCTTCTTCGACTGTAAAAAGTGCACAACGGAGCATCAGTAGCAGCATGTACGCGTATTATCTCTGGTGCAGCGTTCGCAAGTTGAAGTCAATTGGCAATTATCTAACATAACCCTAAATTTTTTTGCAACGGGTGATAGTTAAACATTTTCCTTTTAAGAAAGAAAAGAGTTTGCTCAGTAATAATAATAACGACAACAGCAGCAGCAGTAGCAGCAGTAGTAGTAGTAGTACTAGTACTAGTAGTAGCAGCAGTAGTAGTTATAGTAGCAGCAGCAGCAGTAGTAGTAGTAGTAGTAGTAGTAGTAGTAGTAGTAGTAGTAGTAGTAGTAGCAGTAGCAGTAGTAGTAGTAGTAGTAGCAGTAGTAGTAGTAGCAGTAGCAGTAGTAGTAGTAGCAGTAGCAGTAGTAGTAGTAGCAGTAGCAGTAGTAGTAGTAGCAGTAGCAGTAGTAGTAGTAGCAGTAGCAGTAGTAGTAGTAGCAGTAGCAGTAGTAGTAGTAGCAGTAGCAGTAGTAGTAGTAGCAGTAGCAGTAGTAGTAGTAGCAGTAGCAGTAGTAGTAGTAGCAGTAGCAGTAGTAGTAGTAGCAGTAGCAGTAGTAGTAGTAGCAGTAGCAGTAGTAGTAGTAGCAGTAGCAGTAGTAGTAGTAGCAGTAGCAGTAGTAGTAGTAGCAGTAGCAGTAGTAGTAGTAGCAGTAGCAGTAGTAGTAGTAGCAGTAGCAGTAGTAGTAGTAGCAGTAGCAGTAGTAGTAGTAGCAGTAGCAGTAGTAGTAGTAGCAGTAGCAGTAGTAGTAGTAGTAGTAGCAGTAGTAGTACTAGCAGCAGCAGCAGCAGCAGCAGCAGTAGTAGTAGTAGTAACAGCAGCAGTAGCAGCAGCAGCAACAGCAACAGCAACAGCAACAGCAACAGCAACAGTAACAGCAAGAGTAACAACAACAGCAACAGCAATAGCAGCAGCAACAACAGCATCAGTATCAGCAGTAGAAATAACAATAATGTTAATAAATATGTGTATGCGTAACATGCGTGCACACATACGCTTCCATCTCTGACTGTCGCATGGAGATACAAAGGGAAGGAAGAAGCTTGCACACAAAGGGAGCGAGTGTATATAACCTCCCGTATATACATACAACGGAGAATACGCACGCATGTGTCTAGTGCATTTGATCTGCGCGCGCAAGGGAGAAAACTCGCTATAAGGAATAAATAAAGAAGAGAAGGCGAGAAAAATAGATGCATACAGCGAGAATAAGTAAGTGAGAGAGAAAAAATGTACGTATGTACGAGTGCCCCTTTTACGCTGCGACTCCTATTGAAAAATGCGTTTTCATTCGAATCGGTAGCAATTCAAAAACGTTCGAACGATGACATGGCAAACAGCAAGAAGCAACGATGTGCGTTGTTCGTAATTCTTTATAAACACGCTCGTAATATTCGCGCGACGAGTAAGGCAACACTATCAGCTGTTTGAGGCTGGCTAAGAGCTTCGGCGTAGAAGGGGCACTATGTATATGTATAGTGTAAAAGTGAGACAAACGATCAAAACTTTACCGACACTTTGACTTTTAAAGTCGAATTATTTTGTGAGGACACTTCTGGATAAACGTTAAAATCGCGAGATTATATTTATGAATTCAAATCGAACAATTTTTCAAAAGTATTAGAGATTTACGTTGTCAACGTACAGTATATTGAGAGAACATTAATATAAGAATGGGAGACATTGGGAAAGCTGGAATAGTCGATGCACGATTACATACGCGAAATTTTAAGAATTTGAACAATAATAACTAATTTCTTATTAATGTGATATAGGTATGACATATTAATAAGTTGTCAGTTTCGCTATTAGTGTTTATTCTTACTTAACAACTCTCCATACTTTTCTCTCGTAAGGATACTACTTATTATTTCATTTAATTATATTAACTAACTAATTGCCGCTATAATTATGGTTTATTTATTAATTTTTTATTAAATTTATTGCGTCTTGATGCATCGACTATATCAAAGACGGAAGAACTGTATACATTGGACGACAAAGAGGGGGAGAGGGTAAACAAAATAAGAAAGAAAAGTACTGATTCACGCTAGAAAAACATAATAGTTTATTGCATTCGCGAAGGCAAAAATTTGTAGAAATGGTACAACGATACACACATGTAAATCAGGAAGACGAAGCAAAGAACAAAGATACAAAGTATTGTGCATAAGATTGAAAAGCAAATAAATTTGACAACGATACAAGTTGAGATTAGAACAAAGAGGATTTAACGAACAGAAGAATAAGAGAAAATAATTAGGCAATGAAAGATAAAGATAAAGATAGTTAAATGTGCGCTGTATAAAAGAGTAGCACGCGCGAGGGCGGGAGGGGGAAGGCGATAGGCGAGAGAGATAGGTAAGGAGCGTGTGCGAGAACGAGCGAACGAGAGAGCGATAGAAAGTGGGGACGAGAGAAAGCGAGAGGGAGACGAAGAGACAGAGAAATAGTGTACCCATTCACTGGCAGCAGCAGCAGTTCCTCCGCAGCAGCAGCAGCAGGGCAGTAGCAGCAGCAGCGCTTAGTGCAGAACGAGACACAGAGTGAGCCAGTGGATTGTTGTCCCCTGTGTGCGTGTGCGTGTGCGTGTGCGTGCATGTGCGTGCGTGCGTGCGCGCGCGCGCGCGTGTGTGTGTGTATATGTACGTGAGCGCGAGAGGGGCAACGTTGCGGATTTTCCTTGGCCGCTAAGAGTTAAAGAGAGGCAACATAGAATGCGGTGGTTGTTGTCGTAGTGCATACGTCGTCGTCGTTGTCGCCGTCGTCGTCGTCGTCGTCGTCGTTGTCGCCGTCGTCGTCGTCGTCGCCGTCGTCGTCGTCGTCGTCGTCGTCGTCGTCGTCGTCGTCGTCGTCGTCGTCGTCGTCGTCGTCGTCGTCGTCGTCGTCGTCGTCGTCGTCGTCGTCGTCGTCGTCGTCGTCGTCGTCGTCGTCGTCACCGTCATCGACATCGGCATCGGGGAAGAGGCAAAAATTCCGTCTTGAGAGTAACAGAGAGTGCGATTAAGTGTTATACACCAGGCACACAAACACGCGTATACATATCACACACACGCCAACATATACACGTGTACCAAACTTATATGCCTACAAAAGAGCGCACGCATGCAAGCATATACACGCGCCCACATGCACACATCATACACATATGCACACAAAAGAAAAGAGGTGGATTCGACCAGAGTATAGGGAAGTGAGTGAGGGAGAGAGAGAGAGAGAGAGAGAGAGAGAGGGAGAGAGAGAGAGAGAGAGAGAGGGAGAGAGAG